AATAAGCGTTTAAGGCCAATTCTGGAGCAAGACAATAAAACAGGATCGTGACACTGGAAGATGAATGGTGTCCAGTTTCAGATAATGACAATTAACTTCAGCTAAAAAGGAAGCAATGTCCTGGGTATGAGTTCTTTAGTTTTATTTTCTTCACTTATGAAAATAATAATAAAAATATAAGAAGCCCTTTGAGTTTATCAGCATGATGTTAAATGACAGAAATGAATAAATAATAAAGAAAAATTGCAAGCAGGGATGATAATCATCCCATTATGATAAATGTGAAACCTGAACTCTTTAACACTTGCTTGAAAGAAAAACTGAACTAATAAGCTACTTTTTAAAAAAAGGCTATTATCTAAATTCATTTTTAAAAATTTGTTGCATAACCAACATAGCTATCTTAAATCTCCCTTCTTCAGCCCTCAAAAAGTTGCACTGGTGCAAGCTTGGAAATGGCACAGCAGTGATTGAGCAGTTGCTTATCAGGCAGTCACATTAGTGTTAACACTTTTTCACATAACAGATTCCATTTGCTGTATAATTTGTAATCTGTACATGTTCTCAGCAAAGCATTTGCCACGACTGTTGTTTCGCTTGGACAGAACTTGCTGCCAATAAGGTTGTCCTTCAGTTTATTGTACATCATTGGTGGCAGCCATGGTTGAGGCACATCAATGTCAAATGTTTCAATTTTGCCACTCTTTATGTCCATATTTATCTTGATGTCAAGGCAAGATTGTTCATTTACTATGTTTAAGCATTTGCTAATACTGAACTTGGGTGTTTTACCATAGATCCAGTCCCAGGCTTGTAGTTCCCTTGCTTTATTATGAATGCCAGGGAACTCCTTTTCATCAGCTGGATTTATTACAGTGATACGATTATCAGCATGATAATGTGTAGCGTATTCTTCAGCAATGGCATCCAGGATCATCTCACAAGTTAAAGTAGGGTCCTCTTCCAGGAGGTTTTTCACTAAGGCTGGGACACTTGGTGTGGCATTGCTTTTTATCCCATTGTAAGGACTTTTCAATACAGATGACAAAATATGTTTGTCAGTATTACAGAGCAAGGTGCAGTGGTGGTAAGCTACAGTCCTTCCTAGCTTTGCAGCAGTGCCTGAGATTTTAAAAATCCCATTTAATAAGAGGTCACATCTTGTAGTAGCCTGCACATCTAATTGTGGGCGCAGGGCTTTTAAAGCTTTAACAACCAGTCTTAGATTTTCCATTCTTTCATACTTTTTCCTGGTTGTAAAGAAAGTCAGGTTGATGTTGCCTAAATCGTGATAAACTGTTCCTC